GTGGGCGCGCGGGGGAGGGGGGAGAGGGGGAGGTGGGAGGGGAGGCGGGGGGGGGGGGGGGGGGGGGGGGGGGGGGGCAAGGCTTAAAAGTGCTGTGGACTTTACACAGAGTTTTCCCCCAGCGAGAATCCCTGGCAAAACGCGCTCGGGCTCCTGCAGTCCACTCGCCACAGGTGCAATATATAATTCAACCACAATTTTAATTATGTTGGTAAGAGAGAACAAGCAGTAACAAGGAGAAGCAGCAGAAAGAGGGAGCAGAGAGCAGCATCAGGAGTAGTTTCACATTGCGTAAAGTTCAATATTTCTACATTGTTTTTTTGTATTAAGATATTTATAGCCGCCTGCACTTTGGCATGTACCGCCTGCCAACTCTGTGATTTATACAACTGCATTAAATTTCCATTAATTGTTAAAACTAAAGTACATATTTTACTTGATTTTAGAGCCTCTTTTGGCTGAAACAGAGACTGCGACAGAGACACTGGGCAAACAGAGACACAGCATAGTTAATTTTTGTGAACGTGTATGGGGCAGTCTAGGAGCAAAACCTTGACTAAAAGTGCAGATTTGTTTTTGTTTCTAGCACTTAAATATTTATCACAAAATTTGTAAATAAATTGCAATGTTTTCGGTCATTTTGTGGGTCGCAACAAAATGCTTTAAATGCACTTTGAGTTTTGATAAATATCTACAACAAATTGTGTTTCTTGCAGCATAATAAATGACACTAAAAATACATAAAGATGGATAGATTCTGCTTAATTTATCTTAAACTCTATTAAAAAACTGACAAAATAGCTTCAATATTTCATCATTTATTCGGCAATATTCTCCCATTTGCTTTGTTTTTTTTTTTGCATGTGGTGCATACTTATATTAATTAATAATAAACGATTTTCAGATACTCTTTCACAATGGTTTCCAATTCTATGGTCAATCCTTTGGAAAAATCACTGAAAATTCTGCCAATTAAATCAATCTTTCACGCATATCAATTTAATGCAACATAAAATACGGTGGAAAAATCCTGTGAACAATAAACACGCATACAAAAAGTAAACAAAACAAAAAAAAAACACAAGAAGCGGCAGAAAAAAAGACAACATTTTGAATGGCGATGAAATAATAATGTTTCACAGCAAAAATAGCCTACATAATACAACTGGTTGGAATTAATTAATTAAAAACAAGTGCTGCGTGCGTGCATCTGATGCTGGTCTAAGAAAGAACAATAGCGCGATGTTTCTACGCTTTGATTGCAAGCGATGGATGGATGCATCACCTCACCACACATCACCACACATCACATCACATCACATCATGGCTGCCAATTATAATCATCATCAACATCAACATCAGCTGTAAAAATTTAAATTACAGAGCAGTGTGTGTGTCAGGGAAAACAACAAATGCAAACGGCCACAGGGTGAAGCACGAAGCAACCCAAAAGTAAGCTATAAAATTATGCACTTTACAATTGCACTCGCAAGGCAGGAGCGGGCATGCACGAAACGAAACGAATGTGAGAGAGAAAAGGGTAAGCAAAAGCGCACCAGTGCAGGCAATTTAGCTATTTGTGTTTCTGCTAGTTTTGGCTATTTTTTACAATTATATTTATATTTGCTTATTTATTTTGTTACAATTATTTGTATAATTTTAATTAGGAGATAGTATTTATATGAAATAATTGCTTTAATTAAATTTAGTTGTCTCTTCTGCTCATTCCAAACGCTCTCAAAACATGGCCCTTTTTTTGACAGCACTGGAGAGCAATTCCAGCATAACTGAAAGTCGAGTGAGTACCGCAAGAGGTACAGGATAGAAGAGAAAGAGAGGGCGGGAATGAGAGCGAGCCTCGAAGGAGTGGGATAGAGTAGAGTGGCAGACAATACATATAATAACTGTGAATTTAGATTACTTATGATTATTATGAAGGCCTATGCTTCGTGCCAAAAACAGTAAACATGTCTCTCATTCGCTTCTCTTGCCTCTCTTTTCTCTACCTCTGGCATGCATGTGCAATAAAATCCATTCTACAAAGTGCACTGCTTAACGATCCCCCCCTATTTTTAGCATACACCATCATAATCGTAATCATATTCCTGGTATTTCTGGCATCATAAAACAGCAGCACTAGCGCAGCGCAGAAGCAGCAGCAATGCACAGTCGTCCGTCCGTGTCATTTATGGCGCTCACTCCACAAAAATATAAAAAGCGGCTCAAAACACTCATTGGCGCGCTTAATGCTAGAAGCTTGAACTAAATTTCGCTTTAGTTTATGACACTCTTTTTTAGTGCGAGTTTTGCATTTCAAACTAATTGCGCGTACATAGGTTATTTTTATATAAAAAACTTAAGTTAAATGAGTGTAAGAGTATAAGTATTTCCGTAATCAAAAATCTAATAAAACCTTAAACCTAATAGAGACCTTAAATGTAAAAAATATCGAGAGTTAAAGCTAAAAGCTTGAGTGGATTAAAGCCGGAGAAGGCTTTATGACAAGGAAAAACAAGGGAAGTCAGTTTTGAGAAGCAGAAGAGGAAAATATACCTACAAAATCCTATCCTATGAGATATTTTGGCTTGTGCCCTTTCGTTTGCCCCTTAATCACTACTAAATTTTAAATTGCATATAAATTGTTTGTTCTGAAGCTGGGAGCATCAATGGGTAAGCGGCGTACGATTGGGATTCGGGTTTTGGGGCATCAGTTTCAGGGATTGGGCATTGGGGCGTCATGTTTCAGTGATTTGGGATTGGGGGATCAGTTTCAAGGATTGGCTGGCAAAAAACGCAGCTGCTTCTTAACAATAATTTCCCCAAATGTGTGGTTACGTTTAAGCCGCAACAAATGCCACCAACAACCAACAGCAAAAAAAGAATGAACCGCCCCCCAAGCAATAATAATAATAATGCCCTGCTGCCAGCCTCCAATGTATCTGTATTTACAATTATTAACGTGTATGACATACGCACACACACATGCATAAATGAAGGGCAGAAGAAACAACAAACATAAACTGGGGGCAGTCTACATGTGCGGTGAGGGGTTGAGTGAGGGAATACCCCGACAAATGTGCGGCGGGCAGCAGCAATAATAATGTATCTGTATCTGTGTGAATAATGATAAATGCCTGTGTGTGCGTGCGTGTGTCCTCTTGTTGCTTTGGGGGGGGTGTGGGGCCTCCTGTGTGTTGTCGTTGGCTTTTTGTGTACGTCTGTGGGGGCCAGGCAATTAAATTAAACTTAACACAGGGCCACAGCCCAGGGTCCAAAAGAGAGCTGTCAGGGAGAGAGAGAGAGAGCGATCTCCAGCTGGTGGTCTGCTGCTGCTGCTGCTGCTGCTGTTGCATGTGTGTATGAGTGGGGCGTGGCATTGGCAATCAGCAGTTACAGTTACAGCAGCTAATTATAAGGCATAGACTACTGGAGGTTTAACGACACACCAGAGACTGCCAGAACCTCCACTTCCACTTCCACAACCAGCTCCAGCCCCAGCTCCAGCTTCATTTGGAGGACATTCCATTCGGCGGCTCAATAACATTTCAATACCACCCAAAGTGCGGTAATTCTTTAATTATTTTTTATATTTTTCAGAGATATTAATGATTAAAGATTTGAAAACATTTAAGCATGAAGAAACAAGTACCCCTAACATTATAAAACTTTCCTGTACATCCTGCCACTCTTTTACTACTTTTCAATAACATTCTTCTATTATTTCTACTCCGCATCCTCCTGTTATTTTTGCTGCTACTTTTACTGCCACTCCTTTTCCCCTCTTCGCCCTGTAGACCCTACTTATTGCCTTTGCAAAATCTCGAAATATCCATAATCCCCTTGCCATCTGTCATGTTTTCGACATGAATTCTTGGCATATTGTGGTTACATACTCTCTTGATTTTCCTACTTGATTTTGCCCCCTTTTTGGCAGCCACTTAATGCCTTCATCAAATGAGAACCACAGAATAATACCGGTGCTCAGTTCTGTCTCTGCATGGCTCCCCCTCTCTCTCTCTCTCTCTGCGTCTCTCGCTACATGCATCTCTGCAATGTAATTTCAATTGAAATATCAAAAAGATAATTACCATAATAATATTGCAGCTACCAACAAAAGGTAACACTATGGAGTGGATAGGGGAGAGCATTGGAGGAGGAGGAGTGACGCAACACAATGGCAGTTGAATTGAATGCAAAATGAAAGGCGAAAATGGAGCACAGAGAGAGAGAGGGCGAGGGAGAATTGAAATTTATTACCGCCAAATACACAGTAGGTGGGGGGGTGTAGTCCCATAAAGCGCTTTTCCACACACACATAAAGAACACGTAGAAGAACCAACACATATGAAGCACATTAGAGATTTGAAATCAACTTCAGGGAAACAGAGACAGAGAAACAGAGTGGCGGAAAGTGTGTAGAGAATGGAGTGCAGGTGGAAAGAGATAGTGAAAGGGTGTGAAAGAGACGGCAAACTCACGGGGGAATTCTTTGGCACAAATTTGAATTTTATTTGCTACTTCCGTCCCCGTCCGTCCCCGTCCGTTCGCTCGCTCGTCGCGTTTATTGTTCGACTGCACCTCGCATGAGTACTCCCCACTCCGCACGAGCTGCAACTGCTTATGCACCTGCCCCATTGCCACACTGCCAATGAAGTTGCATATACATATATCCAGCGGCATTTTGCTATTTGCCCGCACAGCCCGCAATAGCAACTAAAAGTGCGGCAGGGAGTCAGCTAATGTGACGCATCAACATTTGCATACAAATAACTTCAAACGCATGGAAAAATAAAGTCAATGAATAAAAGTTTTGAACTCATTTTGGGGTTAGCTTAAGACTTCAACAGGCAGTCCCAATGAATGCATTCGAGTACGAGTCAAATATTTAATATTCCGATTATTCCGCAATAAAAGTTTTCCGAAGTTTTAAAGTCATCCGAAGTTTTAACATACAATATAAAAATAAACTAAATATAAAATAAATATAAAAAAGAGTTGCATTCTTTAGTGGCTGTTATGGGAATCTCCTCGACCCCGCCAGTGGCCGTCATGGCAGTCTCCTTGCCCACGTCCGTGTCTTCCATGGGACGCTTCTTGACTGATCGTTTGGGGCTGCGCCGCTCGATGTGCACCCCGACGCCCAAGCAGACCACGCAGACAGCATTTAATTTTCACAAAGCAAGCTTCCCAAAGGATAAATACAACAACAGTCATGAACAATGAGAATATAAAAATCCAAAAGACATATGTCCTGAAATTGTGATATTGTTATTGCGATCTGTGACTAATGTTTAGCTTCCTTAGAACTTACGAATTCACTTCGTCCTCTGGTACAAAGTCAATGGGTTTTGTTTGATTAAAGACTGGGTCCAGGCTGCAATGTTGGCTAACGGATTGATAGCTGACTTCACTTGCAGCTGGAACTACGTATGGATTTACTTTCGTAGCGATTGCCGTCATCGGTTCGATGTTCAAGTTCAAGGACTTTGCTTCAACGAATGGACTCGGAAGAAAATCATTCTGTACAGTTTCAGTGTCCTCTTGCAGTTTTGGATCTTCAATCCACGCTATTTCCTCGATCTTTGGTTGCTTATTTTGCCAAAAAGGCATCCAGGATATGGCAGAACCGTCACTGTATACAAAGCGGGATATAATTGAATAAATCCAACCCGTCAGCATTTGTAGCAAGCCCATCACGTTCTTTCTTTTGCATGAGAAGGGAAGATCTTTAATTTAAGATAATTTACTAGTAATGCTAGTAAATCGACGCAAAACTAAAGGCAAGCTGATTAGAATTAAACCTCTGTGTTGCCCTCTCTATTATTGCCATGGCTTCTCCTCTTTTTTTTTTGGTCACGGAGGGGATCTGCTGCTGAAGTAAACATCATCACGGTCAATGGGTTTTAATTAGCTGACATTTCGTGGACTGCCGGCAAATGTGTGGTGGCCGCAGGTAAAAAGTGAATTTGTAACCCGAAAAACGTGATACGAATGCCTGAATTTTAAACGAATAAGCCAATTCTTTTCGTGTGTGTGTGTGTGTGTGTGTTTATTTGCGGGATTTTAAAGTCATTCTATAACTCAATTTTTCATCAAAAATTAAAACTCGCACTTTATATAATGTTTAATACAAAAAATCAAAATAGAAAATGCATGAAAAAAATGTGCATTATGCTCTCAAAGCTTCAAAGTTACAGCCACTCCTTTGTAAGCACATTCCCTGTTCCATTAAATCAACCAATCATACACTTCCAAGTCTTCTAATATCCATCAATCCGTACAAAGCCATGGCAATAGGCACCCCGAACAAATCCCTACAAAAATGGTCTAAAATTTGGCAGCAACTCCTCGACTAAATTTCAAAAAAAAAAAAAATGAAGAAAAATCTCCACAAAAGCTGCCGAATTTTTAATTAAATCTCGTTGCATATTTGACTTGTTCATGCAACCAGCTAGAGAGAGAGAGCGCGAAAGCATCCATTGAGCTGGGGGAAAACAGGTGGAAAAAGGTGGGAAATGAACACAAAATTTAAATGAATTCTGGTATGACGCAGCAGCAGCAGCAGCGACATTTTGTTTATGGAAATATTTATACATAGATTTTTATTTTATTTCTAGTTTTTTAATTGAATTACAACAGATTTGTAAATGGGAATGAACTGTATACATATATCTGCACATATGTACATATATGCCAATTTTTGGTGGGTATATTTTTAGAGAATAATTTCCATATGCCGCCTGCCGCCTGCCGACTGCCCTCGTTCGCTGAATGTCAGCTGACAAATTGCTAATTGAAAGAGCTCTATGGGGAAGCTTACATGAACTAGGCGTGGCATACGCCCCCGCACATACATGTAGCATGTGCGGCAAGAGTTTGCTCTGAATATCCACTGACCTGTGCGAGTCGCGTCGCATTTGTTTGCTCCCAAACGCAGGGAAGGAGAAACGCGAACATGGTGGCCCGCCTAACGATGGACACATGGATGAGGCTGGGGCAGGAGCAGTCGCAACCCTCAATGTGGTTGCAGGCAGGCAGCGTGGCCCGCCCCCACTTCGTTTCCCACTGATTTATATGCAAAACGCGCAACAAAACGACGAAAAAAAGAAAAACAGTTTTTCAATTAAATGTTCGTTTGAGGAGTTGTCGTCGCTTGCTTGGATTTTCGAATTTTCCAAGCCTGTCGTATAATTTATTAGCATTAACATTTACCCTGCTCAGCACCCTTGCCCCATGCCCCCTGCCGACACTGCAGCAGAATCCACAGCCTTATTTTTGCTCATCAAATCGCGGCGCTCAAATCCAATAGCAGATATAAAAAAAAAAGAGGAGCAAAATTTGTGACAAATTTGCTTTTCACTTTGGAAAATTAAAAACCGAGCGAGAAAACAAAAAAAAACAGGGGGGGGGGGCCAGGAAGAGAGAGTGGAATATTCTTTTTCATTCATCATCATTGCAGATATTTTGGTTGATGAAGCGCTCCCAGAGAGAGTCGCTACCCCATACCCTAGGCACAAAACGGGGCACAAGCGATTTTCGAACTCTTTGGGAACACACATTTTCCGTGACAACTTTTTTGTTGATAGATGTTGAGATCAGGGAAGGATTGAAGTGCATATTATTGAGGGTTTTTTATGTATTTTCAGCTAAGTTTTCTAGGATTTTCCACACATAACTATTATGATACTTTCTTGAACCTTTTTTTTACGCAAGAATGATTCTGGAACTAGCTATTTGTTGGCTCTTTTGAATGTGAACCACTCGGTATGGAATTTTGGTATGTACTTTATGAGATCTTTCGTCTATTGTAAATTTTAAATCTCTCTTAATGAATGCTTTATCCTTCTACTTCCTCTTAAAACTAAAGAGTATTCCTCAACCCTACTCTTGTCTAAATGAAAGTTCTTTCGTCTTGTATTTTTCTGGCGACTGCAAACTTAAATCCGAAAGGCATTTGGATATTGATTTACGTTTACGTAAAAGGCAATATCAAATTGCAAAAGCAGCCAGCCAGCCAGGCAGCCACCCTTAGAACTGACAGACAGGGCACCCATCGCCATTCCCCCTCATTCTGCAGCACCCCCACTGGTCTGTCCTCCTCTCCCTATGGAAACATATCGAAAAATGCGAAAATTGTACAATGAAAATTGAAGTGAAATTAAACTAAAGCCCCGAGGCGATAACGACTGAATGTCCCCACTGTGTGTGCCCCCCCCCCCCCCCCTTCTATAGAGTGGTATTCCGCCCCTCACCACTGTGTCTCTTCCGACTTGTTGGCATTCATTTAGCTCTGTGGCCTGCCCTGCCTGACGGACACCCCCCAACTTTGGGACACTTAAGCGTCCGTCCGACTGGTGGTGGTGCTGCTGCTTCGAGGGCCAAGAATGTGACGACAATGTTCTTCCCCCTGGCAGCACCTACATCCCCACACGCCTCCGCATACTTTCTAATGAGACAAAAATTGCGATTTGAATGCAAATAACTGCAGGGGCTGCCCTGACTGCCTGCTCCTTCAGACGGACAACAATTACATGGCAATGGAGTGGATCCAAGGAAACCTGAAACGGGGGCTGCAGAGCAGAGGGATTGAATGTCTGGGATCTGTATCTGTATCTGAGATTCATTTGCTGCAGGGGGAAGGGTGGCAGGGTGGCAGGGTGGCAGGGAGAAGCTTTTGTGTCAAGCGGCATTTAAATTTGACAAAATGAAATGTAGAAAATATTTCGGTTTCGGTTGCGGCTCCTGTCTCTCACTCTCTCTCTCTTTCTTTCTCTCTCCTGACGGCTGTTGTTGGCATTTTAATGAAGTTCTTAAAAAGCTGGACCCAACAGAAAAGAAAGAAGAGAGAGAGGGCAGAGGTAGAGGTAGAGAAGTTGCCCAAAAGAGGCGGGGAAAATGTAGAGCTAGGTGGTTTTTGTTACCTCGTATTTGCATTTAATTAAATGCCAATAATTGAATCAATTTGCACCATGGAATGTGGCATAGAAAATCTCTGCTACTAATCAACAGAGCCTTGCCCCCACCGCTGGGTCGTTGCTTAACTTTCACCTGGCACTGCGCATACTTGGATTTTATTAATTTGAGAAACGGCACCAGGACACAGGGCCGCACAGGACACTGGCCATGGTGTAATAGGCCATAAAGCCACAGGAATGTGGCCAAGAGCGAGAGCAGTTGGCTTTCAAGTATTTTGTCATAGCCTCTTGGAAATACCATCGAAAGCATTCCGAAATTTAATTTGGCATTTCACTTCGAAACGTTTACCTTGATGTCCTGTGGATCCTGTGGCTTTTGAGATGGCAACGGAATTTCTAGTTAATCAATTGCTCCCCCTCTCCCCCACCGCTTTCTGCATTTGTCACCAACAAAATTATCTGTCAAAACTGCTGAGAGAATTTATTCCTAATGGTTTTTCTTTTTTTGTTTCATTTCTTTCTATTAATTGAAATGACATTTTAAATGGAATTTTGAATGTTGTTCGTGTTATAGATTTGCAGCAGAGGAATGTCCATAAAAACGTTTCACGCAAAGCAATGCAAAAAATGTCCAACTATATTTTTATATATTTTTTTTATATCAATTGTTCTTGTATATTCTTCTAGTTTAATTATTTGATTTTTGTATCAATCTTTAATTAAAGCCCCCTCTCCCATCTTAGAGTGTATTTCCACATTCGTTTTTCATCTTCCAGGGGTCCATTTAGTTGATCTTTCGAGTTTTAATATTTTCATTTTTGCTGGTTGGCAAAAACTGATTTAAATTTCATTTCGTTTTCAATTTCCTTATAAAATGTTTTCTTTGTACAAATCAAATTTTAGCAACTAATTATACGCATATGTGTTTTTATCTCTATTTTTTCCGGAATATTTGCTTGAAATGCGCCCCATAAAAACCAATCAAATATTTATTGGCATGTTTTTTTCGCATCGAGAGCTGTTTTCTTTTTTTTGTTTTTGTTGGGGTTTGTTAGCTTGTTTTGATTTGATTAAATGTTAACATTTTGCACAAGTTAACGCCAATAAATAAAGACAAATAATTGGGGCAGAGCATTACATATATTTATAAATATTTCAATTGCAAATTCCGTTTTTTCAGCATGGATTTCAGCCTTTAATTTAATTTGAAATACAAGCACAAATGGGGGAGCGGCCGGGCTGTCCTGTCACAGATTAAAGTGTTAATGCAACATAAAGTGTTGTTGTTTCTATTTGTTTGTTTCTGTTGTGTGTGTGTGTGTGTGTGTGTGTGCTTCTATTTTTTGTGGTTGCATTGATGGTTTAGCGAACAATTTGCATTGCAGCCGCAGAGATATACGGAGACCCGTACTTTTCAGGCATTACAAAATACTAAACTGATTATCCCCAGCATCGAATGTGCGGCATTTGCGAATGGTTTCTGGATTCTGTTGCCATTCTGCTGCTGCCGCTGCTGCTGCTGCTGCTGCTTCATCATTATAAATTCAATTTAGCCAATCGAACCGAATGTCGTAATTTGATTATGTTGATTTTTGCACATTAATTGCATATTTATTGACCCGACAGACTGCACATCCAACGGCGCAAAAACAAGAAAAAACCATGGAAATGGTCTATTGTTTGTCTGAAATGTGTTACATAAATATGGAATTTGTTTTGGCAGTTTAAGTATTTTAATTGTCAATCAGAATGGACTAATTGACTGTCAGATAAATGGTTCTCCGATGTGGTTTTAATAGGGTAAATACATACTTGAAACTCCTTTCAGATTGTGATATT